CATTCATAATAAGTTCATAATTTATTGCTAACTTAACTCATTTGGGGGTACATTTCAGTGATTATTTTTAGCCTTAACATCTGAGAAATCAAGAAAATCGGTAGATACCAGTGAGTGGTAGCACTTTTAACATTACGAGACATCTAGAAACAAGAAAGTGACTGAGTTAAATTAAATGATAACCCACAGTTATTTACAAATCACAATGGAGGGGGATGGAATATAAAAAATGTGTGAAAAAAATCAAATAATAGCAAGTCAGGTTCATGTAGAAATTATATATCCTCTGTGCATAACCTAGGCGACTAAATTAACATGTTTTGGCTGCTCAGTTGCATAGGCCCTAATCTCTGTGCTCTCCCTACACCTCTCTTGTCTCTCTTCACAGAGCATTGCAACATAATATTAATTTTGTAGAGCCTTTTATTTTAAATTGTTATGTATAGCTCACATACCTCTTTATTTTCTCTCAACCTACTATTTTACCTGCGTCAAAAGCGTATACAACTACATGAAACTCTGAATTCACATGATCAATACATCAACTGTGTGTATTAACAGTTAACGCCATGAATATTATTTCACTTGTTATAAAGTAGATCTTGAATTATACCACAATGTAGCTTGCTTTCACCACAAACTTGGTGCTATGGAATGCAGATGTCTCCATCTAGAAGCAATCAGCTCTTGGCAATGACTTTGAAACATAGCAAAACGTGTACATCTTGCTCAAACCATTAATGTAAATATACTGACGGCACAAATACCTTTCAGAAATATGATTCAGAAATGCAGTCTGACCTTGCAAATCATGTACTCTGCTAATGAGAACGTGTCATACATTCAGCTATTTCCCATACCGAAGGGCAGGCAGGTCATGGAATGATTGCACGTTACCCAACTGACTGAGCCTGAAAGCAAGTATCACTCAAGAGGAATCACAATAACTCAATTTGTTGTCAAAATGTAGTCTAATTTAAGTATGTTACTGTGGGAAGAAAAACTCTACATTTTTCTACGTTTCTTACTGAGCTCAAACTATCACCTCATTATTGACAACACAGCAAAAGCTCTTAGAAATGAAGGTTAAAAACTATTAGAATAATTAAAATTAACAGAATTGCTATCATATGGTCCCTAGATGAGAGTTGTAGGCTGTTTCCAGTTTGCATTAGATTGATACAATTTTTTTAATAGTATCTGAATTTCAACATTAGGTTACCCAATTTACTTCCCAGTCTTTGATATTCTATTTTAATTATAGTTACATTTTAAAGCGGTGACTTTATTGTCATGATCTAATATTGGTTGGTAAAATTGTATTCCAACTGGAAGTATACAAAGAAATTTCAGTGGTATAAGTACTGCAAAAATGTCTTATGGGAATACACTGCCAGGTTGACATTTTGTAAAAGCTCACTTGAGTATTTGCTTATCATTGTATTATATATTTACTAAATTACTTTAAAACATTCTGCTGGAAATGAAGAGAATATAAAGGTGGATAAATCTCTGGGACCTCATCTACTGTATCCCATAATGTTGTGGGAAATAAGAGAGGAAATTGCGAAACCCCTCGCAGAAATTTTTGCATCATCTATAACTACGGGTGGATGCCTGGTGATTATCACCTTCCAATGTTGTGTCTTTATTTAAGAAAGGTTGTAAGAAGAAAGCGGGGAACTGCAGTCCTGTTAGTCTGACTGTGGGTGTGGGTAAATAGTTGGAGGTGACTTTAAATGATAGGATTTATGAACATTTAGAGAGGCAAAAAATGATTAGGAATAGTCCACATGGTTTTGTGTGAGGAAAATCGTGTCTCACAAACTTGAGTTTTTTGAGAAATTACCAAAAAGATTGATGAGGGCAGAGCAGTGTACATTGTTTCCTTGGACTTTAGTAAAACCTTCGACAAGGTTCCTCATGGTAGACTAACTAGTAAAGTTAAGTCACATGGGACTCGGGGTGAGCTTGCCAAGTGGGTGCATAATTAGCTTAATGGCAGGAGACAGACAGTGGTGGTGGATGGCTGCTTTTTGGACTAGAGGCCTGTGACCAGCGGTGTTCCACAAAGATCAGTTCTGGGTGCTCTTTTGTTTGTCATCTATATAAATGATTTGGATGAGAATATGGAAGGCATGGTTAGTAAGTTTGCAGATGACAACAAAATTGGTGGCATAGTAGACAGTGAAGGTTTTCTAACATTACAAAGGGATCTTGATCAAATGGGTCAATAGGCTGAAAAATGGCAGATAAACTTCAAAGTAAATAATGCGAGGTATTGCATTTTGGTACAACAGACAAGGGTAGGGCTTATACAATTAATGGAAAGGCCTTGGGTAGTGTTGTACAACAGAGGGGCCTAGAGGTTCAGGTACATAATTCTTTGAAATTTATGTCACATATTGACCGGTGGTTAAAAAGGCATTTATCATGCTTGCCTTCATTATTCAGTCCTTGGAGTACAGGAGTTGGGAAGTCATGTTGAGGTTGTATAGGACATTGGTGAGGCATGTGTCCAGTTCTGGTTGCCCTGTTATAGGAAAGATATTATTAAGCTGGAGGGGTTTCAGAAGAGATTTACCAGGTTGTTGTAGGGTATGGAAGGTTTTGAGTCATAAAGAAAGGCTGGATAGGCTGGGACTTTTTCCACTGGAGCATTGTAGATTGAGAGGTGACCGTATAGAAGTTTATAAAATAATGAGGGCATAGATAGGGTTAGTGGTAGATGCCTTTTCCCTAGGATGCAGCATTTCAAGACCAAGGGGCACATTGTTAAGGTGAGAGGAGAGAGATTTTAAAAAGACACGAGGGATAAATTTTTTTGCACAGAGGGTGGTTCAAGTGTGGAATGACCTTCCTGAGGAAGTGGTGGATGGGGGTACAGTTACAACATTTAAAAGACATTTGAATAAATACGTGAATAGGAAAGGTTTGGAGGGATATTGGCCAGGAGCAGGCAGGCTGGACTAGTTTAGTTTGGGATTCTGTTTGGCATGCACTGGTTGGTCGGAAGGGTCCATTTATGTGCTATATGACTCTATGACAAAGTACAAAACAAAATGGTATATAGAAAACCAGAGCTAAACACAGTAACCACATTTGATTGCGCTACTTTTAAACAAAAACATTTGAGTGCAGGAGAGAATTAGTTTGATTAATCCAATGACACAATGTAGTAGTGATTTTATATAAGTCTTATTCAATATATTAATTCTGTGCCTGTTTGCTACAGTCCATAAAGCAACCCTACACCAAAACTCTCTGTCTCCTGCCGTTAAACAAATTATGCACCCAATTGCAGAATTTACTTTTTTTAAAAACTCAAAGACTAAGTTGTAAATTTTTAATTCCCAGGTTTCATTTCAATAAAAGGAGCCCTGTCTCCAAACTCAAACTGGCTGGAGTGCTGAGAGGGTTGGTGGACAAGAGTGACAATTACATTGGGAGCTTCAGGACACTGGGGATGCAGAAGAATGCCTGGCTTAAAGTTAGTGCTGGGGAAGGTTTTAAAGAAAACAACCACATTAAGAGAGAGTGAGAGAGAGAGAAAGAGAGACCAGCATGAGACTGTTTCTCTTAGCCGACAAAGATTCCATTTGAGAATAGGTGTTGACACACATGCTGGTCTCCTCAGGCCATGCAATGTCTTCCACCCAGGTTTTTGCTGCCTTGTGTGATGTCATGCAATCAATAAGCAGCAAACCAAGGAATATCAAAAAAAAAGCTGTAATGCTTTATGGAACCTTATGGGACACCAATTCTGCAACACAATTATTTAAACACACCTCCTTCACCCTGTCAATAGAAGATTCTACCAAAAGACTTTACATAATCCTAACCTCAGGATTTCAGATAGATTCAGGGTTAAATAATAGTGGGTGGGTAGAAGCTTCACTCTGCCCTGAATGAGGCCTATCTGGAATCCCAGGGCTGAAAAAGGCAACACTGCTTTTCTAAAACTATGCAGACTTTCGGAAATTTTTCAATGTTGTCCAACTAAACCCAACAAGGCACAGTAAAGAACCAAACTGTTGTGCAGTGCATTCTATAAAATCCTATTGACATGATTATAAAGTTATAATTTCAGTCAAACTTTTAAATAATCAAAACTTTTGCAATATTTCAGTTTTAAGATTCTTCACTAAATGTACTGGACCCTCTGCTTGGCTCAAAGTGGTTCTTTAATGGGGCTAATAATAAAATTACTATCATATACGCTGATTATTCTCTGGCATAAAATTCAACACCATTCACCAGCAATCAATGACTTGCATTTGCCTTAATGATGAACCCAATTTCAATCAAAGAGATGTACACATAACACCTAGACATAAAAATGTGAATGTAACGTAGTTCAGGATTTGACCTAAAGAATTTTAGAGTCAATGTTGATTTTAAAGGTCAGTAATAGCTTAGAAGCTTTTACTGTCTCTCTCTCTTTAATGGTACTAAAGTACCATTAGGTTTGCAATGCTAGGTTAATTCCTCTCTCTAATTATCACTGGATTACAGCAATGCTTTATCTCTTAATGCAACATGACAAAATCCTGAACATCATAACTCATGCATTATTATGATCAATTATAATATTGATGCCCTTTCCATCTCCCAAGTACGGTGCATGATTCGGAACCACTTTCCCTCATTTTGCTATGAATTTACAAGTTGTATCATGGGCAGGGAGAAATGGTAACAGTTGGTCAACTAACCCAGAAAAAAATCATTTGAGTTTAGCTTTCTGCAAATGATAAAACAAAAAATTGCTTCCAACAATTCTACACAGTAAACAGGTTAAAACCTCAGAAACTTCAGTAAGACCTAAAGAGCTGGTTATTCTTTACAATAAAATGTTCTATAAAATATATTTAGCCAAGCAAATAACAAAAACATTTAAAGAAAAATCAAAATAAGCATTATGAAAGGGATACAGATTCAAACATATAATATCTAATCAAATAAATGGATCTATTTGATTTAAAGCAAGATAATGCTCTTACCTGCCTCTTTACATTCACCTTCCTCCAAGCGCATACCTTTGAGCAGATGCTCTAGAATCTTCTCAGGGGTTCCAGCCACCACCGTGTATCTATTAGAGAGTATAGATTCGACTGAGTCATCTTCTGCTGAAGACTGTGAAGGATTACTCCATTCATCTTCTGAATCTTCGTCAATATATTTAAAATAAGGCACATCAAAAGCTGGCAAGGTCAGACCAGTGCTATCTTCAAAGATTTCGGAAACACTTTTGTTTTCCATACGGGGATCAAAAACTCTTAACATTGAACTTGCTTATTATTTTGTTTCTAACTACCAGTGCATTACATAATTTCAGTTTTGCCTTTTGCCCTGTCTCACTATTAAACTCCAGCTGATCTGATCCATCCGGCTGCTGAGTGCTCTGCAGAGAATAAGTGAACCACTTACCTCCCATCATTCTGGGCACTCCCTGCAGTAGGGGCTGGGCTAGATGACGACATTTTTTTCAGGATGAGTATATCTTGGCCTCGTTCTTTAACTCGAGCTGTGTTTGCTTCATCATTCTGTTACAGGAGAAAAGAAGCAAATTTTGGACTTTCAAGAGCTTTTGCACGGGAGCTGAAAGGACAGATTCATCAGCTGACAAAGAAACTGGCGTGTTATACAATGTTCAGTAGAAATCTGGCTTCTTGTATTTCCCTTCCGTTAATGCTGTCGACTCACAGTTAAATGTCATTTAGTTGTTCACACGCAGGGGACCAGTTATTTCAGATGGCTAGCGTATGCTTCAGAATAATACGAACAGCAAGGGGTTCAATCCCTGGGGTGACCCTTGAAATTTCAAGGACGCTAACCGGAGAAGAATAGCTCATGCATGTAAGCAATTTTGTTTTACTGTTTCAGTACATAATTTTCTTTTAAAAACAAAAGAACTTTCTCCCAATTCACTTTACTTATGTATTCCGATTTAAATGCAGGAGATGAGGAGACAATATTCCAACTCTGTTGAATTATGTCATGTCAATCTTGTACAAAGGAAAAAGTCACACAATGACTTTGGTTGGTATTAACGTGTATTTGCATATTTTGATTCAGATTTAAAACAACTAAAAATAATTTCTGCCGGCAGGCTAAAAATAACAACTGAGGCAATTTGTGAGGTAGCAGATCCAATCAATTGAAGTAGCACTGTATATACAAATAAATGACTTTGTTGGCATCAGTCTAGGTTCAGCAGTAGCACACTTTGTTCTCCAGTTACAAAGTTAAACATTGAATTTGCACCCCAGAAACTTGATCACATGACCTGAGGGGCTACTACAGTTCAGAGGTGCCACATTTTGGACTTCTTTGAAGGTGCCATGGCTGCTTTGTTTACCCACAATACACCAGTGACAATGCTCCCATGTCATGGCCATAGAGTCTGGAAAAATCTCAGCACCACAACATAAACTTTAAAAATGGTCTCCCACACTTCCTTTACCAGTTGCCGGGTGAGTGGGCTGGTGATGGTCTGGATTAGGAGTCAAGCCAGACAACCTCAGAAAAGACCAAGAGGGTGTTGTGTTTCCGAGGTGGGCTGGTCAGAAAGACTGCCTGAGAACTCTGACAATGTCTGCAAAGTTTAAAATAAATATTAAAACTGAAAACACACCCATCCATACTATTTTTTGCACTGCAGGCCCCCTATGGTCCCTCATAGATCTTGTGCCACCCTATGCCCATTATCTTTTGCCCGTCATCTGCTCTGAATAATTCATAGGGCCCATTATATCCAGTGTGACAACTCATTATAAACCAATATCTCTCACTCACTACCCTTTTCAATTCCCTCACCGTAACAACACACTAATTATCCGGCGTGACCAGTAATCAGGAAGCATCATGACAGAAGTTAAAATTACCAATGTATTGGTTATGTCATTATTGAAAATAATATGATTTCATTGGTACAAAATAAACATCCAATACTCATAAGGGATTTGAAACAAACATTTGAGTTTTCAATTAATTTTGTTAGCAAACATTTCACTTAAGTGATAGTACCTTATGCCAACAATCATCTTACTCAAGCCGTTAAAATCTTATGCCAATAAATATTTCTGTTCAACAAGGAGGTGGAGCTGTCCATCAATAGGCACCACACTGTGAAATTAATAATTTGGGAAATCAGTCATGCAGCACAAATCCTATAAAGGTTTTATTTAAGCAGAACTTCAAAATATCTTTCTTTATAACTCCATGTCTTTTTGACAATTTCTTGACAACATTGCAAGTCCCCGTGAGTTGTTCTCCTTTTCCAGCATGAGCATTTTTTTTCACATTCCCAATATGTGCCTTGTCTCTCCCATATGTGTTCCAGGATCACAGCCACAGGGTTAACATACTTCTCCAAAAGAGAAGTAGTAAATGTTCCACCAGTCCTTAACTCACACCTCCTCACTGGCACACACTTCCCATTCCCAACCTATGCAAACTAATAATCTGTACCCATCACATATGGCCCCTCATACCTCAATGCCAACTTAGTGCCTGTTTTTACAAGCTAACCTTTCCCTCTTCACCAACCCATTGCCAATCCATTGAGCATCCTGGATGAGTGCACCTGCAACAAAACTCAAGAAGCTCAACATCCAGGACAAAGCAGCCAGCTTGATTGGCAAGCCATCTAATACCTTCCTTCATTCATGCCCTTTAACACTGACCCACAATGGCAGTAATGTGTATCATCTACATGTTGCACTGTTACAACTCACTAAAGCACCCTCAAAACCCAAAACCTCTCCTGCCTAGAAAGACAAGGACAGCAAATGCATGGGATCACCACTACCTGTATGTTTTCCTCCAAGCAACCATCCTCACTTGGAATAGTATCGTCCTTCCTTCAATCCTTACATTCCCTTCCTAACATTACTGTGGTGCCTGTAGTCCACAAGGACTGCACCAGTTCATCATTAGCTTCTTGAGGGCAATTAGATATGGGAAATAAATCCTGGCCTAGCCAGTGATACCCTAATCTTTGAATGAATAAAAAGATTCCACAGGTATACATTCATATAGGACAAAAAGTATAGTTCTATTTCTTAAATTTCTATATTGCAGACAACAATCTGTTGAGAAAAGCACTGTCAATTATTGTTTTAAAATTCAATCATGGGATGTGGGGCAAGGGAGATACATCATGGTAAGGCCAGTATTTATTACTCATCTTGAAATACCCCTGTGAAGGTGTGGTGAGCTGCCTTCTTGAACTGCTGCAATCACTGGACAGCAGATGGAAGTTCCAGAATTATCACTCAGTGACAATGAAGAAATGGTGACATCATTCCAAGTCAGGATGTATTAGAGGGGAACTTGCAGAAGAACTCCTGACTTGGGTCTTGTAGACAAAAGCAGGTTTTGAGAAGTTAGGAGGGGAGTTACTTGCTACAGAATTCCCAGCCTCTGGACTTCTTTTGTAGCCACAGTGGTGATATGGCTGGTCCAGTTCTGCTTCTGGTCAATGGTAACCCCCACATTTTGAGACATCTAGATATCTCTTAACAGGTCTTGATAAATTGCACAGTTCCAAAGGGTATATGCACCATTCACACCCAATCCTTTCCACAGTTAACTGTCCCAAAGGATAACTGACTACCCGCCCATCCAAAAAGGACTGTATCCTGGGACCACATCTGCGATGGTACCTCAGCTCTCCAAAAGGGTACCATAAATAGCCTGAAGAAATGCACTGAGAACAGTCTTGTTCTTATCTAATCGAACCTCCAAATGCCAAAATCCTATTTTGTTGGGGATCACTGATCAGTTAAATGTCCAGCTGCTTCCAGGAATGGTACACACCCAGTCCTGCCCATATGGAAATTAGAGGGGGCAGGTTTGGATGGAGGAATTGCAATTCCTGACAAATTCCGTCATTTTTGCCATGGTGGCAATGCTCTCTTTCCAGGAGTAAATCAGGGCCAATATTTCATTGGCTATTAATTGCTTAAGGATATGCTGAGATTGTAAAATGTGCTATATTAGCAAATTTCTTTCCTTCTTTGTATACTGGACCAGAATTATAATTTACACTCGGCCAGACAAGGACCAGCGCCTAATTTATTTTTGACTATCTTGCAGACTAATTTGACTTACAAATTAATTTGGACATTTCAAAATATTATTGCATATTTTCAATGGATGCATTGAAAATAACTTCAAGCATACATTCACATGGAGCAAACAAGTTATTGTCACAGTTCATATGAAAAATGTGAGACCATTCCACAAGCTCTTGTTCCTTACTCTTAACCTGATTAAATAATATGCTGAAGACTTGAAAGCATATTTGAAATTGGATCAGTTCGTTAATTAAGAGGCAGAAAGGCTTCCAATGTGAAAACAGAGAGAGGGCAAGTGGAGGACCTCTTTGTGGGTCTGCTCCTGGGGCTGACCAAAGTGGTCATCAACAGGACCGGGCAGCAGGCCATGGAGGGAGATGTAGTTCCTGATTACCTACCCCTCATCTTTGGCTATGTTCACGCCCAGATGCCCTTAGACATGGAGCACACGACACATCAATACTCTACATGCCTTTAAAGAGAGTTGGGCAGCGCAGTGGGTGGAGTGCCCTATTTCTCTTTCCAACTCCATTTTGATTTAATTCCCTCCCTCTCTCCGTACCTTTTCCTCACTTTTGATATAATTGCACTGCCCTGGATAGGCTTTACATTTAAGTTGATCATTGATTCAGGTACATGCCTGATTTAGTAGTGGTGGATAAAACTGAAAAGTAACATGGATGACTTGATGGTAGAAAAAAAATCATTCAGTTTTGCGTGAAAGCATTTCTGGAGATAGAATAGAAAAAAAAATATCACCAGTGAGAAAAATAAATTCTTGCTGGAATTTAGTGCTAAGGAGGGGGGATGCAGTTGGTGAACCCACTTCAGCAGTCAATGGAACCCAGGGTAACATCTTCCCAATGCCAGGGTGATCAATGAGAGGACTGGTAGCTCATTAGTGTCATTAGGGACAGTGCTAAGCCAGGACTGAACCTTGAGGAGAAGTGTGCAGCAATGATCTTATATTCCTGTAGGCTGATGAGTATGGGGCACTGGGAGATGACACTGTCAATTGGGTGGGGGGGGCGGTGTTCTATGGGTCAATGAATGCCCAAACAAGAAGGTATTTCCCCGTATGACCCCCTACAATGCCTGGAGTCTGGCAGGTGGTCATAGGGTTCAAAGAGTTATCTCCCTATGCTGCAGAGGGTCTATTCACCACTGGTCAAATGCCAATTGAGGCAAAAAGAGTCCATTAATTGACTACTTAAAAGTCACTCAGTTTGGCTCCGACCGAAAGGACTCATCCCCAGAAAAATCCAGCTCTTGTATTACAAAAACCAAGAAAACAATAAAGGTAAATTTCTACAATAAAACAAAGAACTGTGGATTCTGGAGATCTGAAGCAAAAACAGAAATTGCTGGTGAAACCCAACAGGTCTGGCAGCATCCGTGGGAAGAAAGCAGGGTTAATGTTTTGAGTCCAGGGTTCTGATGAAGAGTCACTAGACTCAAAATGT